TGGTAGAGGCACATCATTTAAGGCGATTGGAGAAAAGCCTTAAATGCTTCATAAATTTAAATTCTAATTTATTGGACAAATTCCGTATCACTTGTAAAATAATTGCAAAAGATCAAACATATCGACATATAAAAACAGCAAGTCAAGGGTAAACGTAAAGTGTAATTAAAATATAAAAAATATCGACATTAAACATTTCTTACTCCCATCACTATAGTGACGCTCTATAGTGCTGCTGTCGGCTGATTCGCGTGAAAGCCGAGCTGCGTCGATGACTAGCGCCCAGCCACACCATTGCTTTAACTATAGTTTAAACTCTTAATCAACACCTGTCCCTAATTATACAAATAAATCTGCCAAAATAATTAAAAAATAAAATGATATCAACAATTTTAGACTAAACTATAGATTAATAGTTCGCTTATGTAATTAATCGAAAAAAGGTGGCGATAATCAAATTTTAATGTCTAAATGAGGCCTTCTAATGACTATATTATAATATTGTCAAAAGATATTTGATTAAACAGCTTAATAGAACCGGATCAGAAGAGTAACAGATTACATTGTTTAATAATTAAGAACTATTTAGTGCGTGGAATAATTAATTAATCTGCTGAGTCGTGACAAAGATAAAGATCAAAAAATAACTAAAGTAGGCAGAAGCAGGTGTTTTGAGTTCACGAAAGATGTTGATCTTTTGATTATAATAAGTTACATATAAAGCTTAAAACAATTTTGGTTTGTGTTTTGAAATGGCGGGTCTAATTAATTCTTTTAAACGCATATTTTCTTTTAAATGCATATTGCATTAACGGGTTAATTAAGATTATAGGTCGGTTGTGGCGGCACTCGGCCGAAGCCGCAAGAATGCGTCACCGTGAGCAGATGCCTCTCCCCACCCCTTGACGAATGCCTCCTTCATCCCCCTCTTTCTGTCGCAACGACACTTTTAAAACGAATTTTTATGATGTCCCACACTGACTATCGAAGTATTAGTCTATAATTTAAAATTAAAATTCTTTCCATTTCAAATTAAATTTTATTTTAATATAGCAACACTTTTCGGTTCGACACAGATTAATAAAGCAATAATAGTCTGGTTTATCGCTGAGTTATAATAAATAAACAATTATTTGTCTCTTTTGTTTTGTTTGCTGCTTGTCTTGTTACAAAGATTGATATTCAAAATGTAGAGAATATAATGTCCTGATCAACACTTAAACTGTACATCTATATATATTCTATAATATTAACCGTAGGTTTCTGAGACCAAAATCAGCTTAAAATATATTGATGACGATATTTTTTATGAAGACATTTTGGTCTGAGAAAGCAACGATTAGATAAGCTATAGCTTGCACTTTAAAAATTGATCTGGTTAAAATTCTTCAAGTTTATAATAAAAATAACTTATTACAAGTTTTTCTCGTAGGTCGTCTACCACTGGTATGAGATTATAATACCAGCTAGTTGTGTGTGGCCCGGCATGCCAATTAGATCTGTCAATGGAAATATATAATGTCGCAAATCGTTCAAATTCCTGATAAGACATTATGAATGATCAATCATTCAGCAAATAAACACTTGTTTGTCGAGTTATCGTTTACTGAGTCCATTGGAATTATTTGTCCAACTAACAAGGGAACGCTTTAAGGTGTTGACGGAGGCACTGTTTGATATATGTGATTGACAATCGAAGCTTATCTCTTATATTCAAACCACCAATATAACTAGAACCTTATGAGTATGGTAAAAGCCTTGGAAAAGGATGTCTTTATAAAGTGGATAAACAACCAGTGAACCTTGACCCCCGCCGCTCGTTCAGATAAAGCTGAATGCACAACAGTAGCGATCGGTAGCGACGTGTCATAGGTCATGTTATTCTGGTAAACGTTTGCTGTAAGTTTTACTTGGTGTCGGATTACTCAGCGGCGACAGGCTGCGGTTTGCGGAGGGAAAATCAGTATTTTGCCACGTAAGGCATCTTTATAGGCCTCTACGCAACGTTTGTATTAAATGGTCTTTGTTCTTTTTTTTAAATGCAAATGCGTATGATACACTCATTCTTTCAAAATTGCATATAGTCTGACACATTTTTATGTTTTTTTTTTAATTTAAGGAGGCAAACGCGCAAGCGGCTACCTGAATTGTCCGAAATGGTGAAGTGACCGCTGCCCATAGACATTCGCAATTGCAGGTGCATTGTTTACTTTTAATCGACGGAGAAGATGACGCACAGATAGAAAATATTTCCCCTTCCCGTGGTCCAGTCCTCCATCAAATGCATAATTACTTGTACTTTACGCCTGCCTTCTGTGTGGTCATGACAGTGCACCGGGCAAGTCGGCCCATTCTAGCCATGTCGATTTGTACTAATTACAGTATGAAATAATTTATGGGTATCTTATTAGATTCTTACTATTGCCCTAGATACTTATCTTAGACATAATTCCTAGTTTCAATAGTTTTGAAAGTTAGTGGTTAAATGATTAAAAGTCGATATTTCAACACAAGATGGAAATGTCTTTTCTCCGAACTCATAACATAAATGGAACCAACAAGTTCCTTATCTTATCAGGGCAGGTGACGTAAGCCATTTAACTCTACTTGCATATATTAAACTGTTATTTAAATAACTGACCGTTCGTATCCGACTTCCGATGCCGCGTGTTTTCACTGTCGAAACACTCACAAGGAAAAATATTGTCATCTCGCTCGTTGTCATTGAAAAAATAGAGATGGATATATGTTTTTGTATAGGTAGTCTTACGGTTAATCGGAGCGATATACCGAGATGGAAATAGCTAATGACCGCCTGAGTATGTTTTATCATTCCAAAGTGGTCTATTAGTCGTAAATTCGGCTACCGAATAAACCAATTTGCCTTAGAAAAGTTTCAATTGAATTGTAAATTAAGAGATAATTTATTTTACGTTGAGATTAGAAAAGTTTGTTACAAACGACCAGAATCATAAGGTCTGAGTTTTACAAATGGGATTAAAGTATAGTTTATTTATGTATCTATTCCTTCTTATTATTAACCAAACAACTAAAATCAGTGGTAGAGATTATGGATCTAATGGGATTTTAATATTTTAATTTTATAAAAGTTTGCTGTTAAAATAATTTAGAAACGCTTCCTCATTTCAATGAACACTCTTATATGTCTTATTATATCAGTTATGAACTAAATATGTACACAGTTTGATGTTTTAAATTAAAAGTATTTCGTTTCATACTGAAAGAATGGAAACAATTGTTAATTATAGGCGTTAATTGTTATAAAAGACTAGCTGTCGCCCGCGACTCCATCCGTGCGGAATTAAAATTAAACGCGCCCAATTTAAACGAGATCTGTTGAGCCGTTCAGGAGATATCTTCGAACAAACATCCATCCATCCATCTAAACATTCGCATATATAATATTAGTAAGATTGTTTACGCGTTTGCTATTAGTTGATAATACTTATTTTATGCATCGTTCAACTAACAGGAGATTATTCAGTATTATCCAACATATGTAATGTAAAATGCATTGTGTGGTCATTTTCAAATATATTTTATTAGTGTTGTGTGACCTCTTATATGTATACTGAATGTCTTGACCAATTTTTAACCTTTTAAAATCCAATGGCACTTTTATATTTCAAAATAGCATTGTCTTAGGGCTATAGATATTTTTGTTCTTAATACTATTTCAACTTTAGCTTCTTGATATTTTCCAATGATGGAAAGTCTTTCAATTTTTGTAACCTGTTTACACGGATGTTTCGAAACATCGCAGAATCGCATCTCGCGTTGTTCTTCTCAGAATAGCAAGTACTAGGGTCACATAAAGTGTTGTACACATTCGATAAAAGTTAGTATGCGCGGTCGCGCGCTGCACGGTACGACACGACATCCATCACCTTGTCGGCAAAGCGGTCCTCGTGTCCATCACGTAACGCCGATAAATCACCGTTCTAATGAGCCTTAAGCTACGTTCACATTGCCACTAAACGAACGATTGCCGTTTAATTGTCGTTGCCTGAGAACCAATAGAAGTGTACGTTTCCATGAACACGAAATTAATACTTTCGAAATTCTCTATGGAACTATGTAGGTGTAAGAAACGAAAGAATTTTTATGGTAAAAGAGTAATTGTGTCTATTTGTATACGAGGTGCACAAACAGTTTTGATGCTTTCAAAGTATTATGCGAAATGTGTAGTGTGAACTTAGCTTAAATTAAATAAGCGGTTTTACTTTTTAGTACCGTTTACTACTAAATTGTAGTAAAATGTTAAAGCTAAATCTTTATTACTAAGCTTAAATCTAGATTAGCAATTGAATATTGCCTATGTAATGAAGTTAAATCTATAAGTGTTGATGTAGAAGATTATCAAAGAATTTATCAAATGAATATTTTACTCGTTGACAACTGCAGCCGATTGATTTTAATAAGATTTTTTTTTTCAGTCAAGTATTATGCCAATATCGTATTCAGTCTTAATAATCATTGTATGTATTTAACACTAATTTCGCACCTTATGTAGATTAATTAGCAAATAAATTATTAATTAATCTCAAACGATACATACTCGTTGTTTAGTTCTCATAAAAACAGTGTTTAATGGTGTCTAACTATTGATAAAGAACATTGTAATAACATTCATCTACGCATATTTTAACTTCGTAAATTATTACTTACTTTTTATAACATGAATCGTAGTGTTACAACAGTCTATCTACATAATTATCACACAAGCACTTGTTCAGGTGGGTAACAGCCAGCGAAGCGCTGTAATTTCATTTTTTTTTTAACTTTTATGTTAAAACATTCATAATACCTTTGTGCCAGTATCTTTTTATTAAATTAATTATTTAATTTAATGTAAAAACTGCAAATAAATTATGAATGTTTCAACATTTTAGATAATTAAAGTACTATGTTTTTGTGTGTAAACCTAGTTTTGTAAGTGCCCCGATCGCATAATCGACGATGCGACTTCCGATTTCCAGACAAATGTTCCCACAAATGAAGTTTCGCGTGTCCGGACTGGACGCGAAAGCGAAATACATCCTCCTGCTCGACATCGTCGCAGCTGACGACTACAGATATAAGTTTCATAACAGGTAGAGAGCATACAAATATCGCCTGGACATCTCAGTATCGCCATCTAACCTTCACGTATCGCTCGAGCGAGAATTTGGCGTAGTAGTCTCATCGCCAGATTGTCGCCCGACATCTGACAGCAAAACTGACAGCGCGCCGTCGATTGACGACACTCCCACGGATTCCGATCTTAACCGTTACTTTCGCTTAGCTTGTGATGCCGCCCACACATCGCTCTAATCTTCAATTTCGATTGTTTTAATTGCACTGACGAATTCGATAGATGCTCAATTTAAGGGCAACGACATGTAACACACGTCGTCTGAAATCGACCGATTAAGGATTCAACACGCATCCATCGGGTAATATCATTAAAATATCTTTGTCTCAAACACCGCTGTGGTGACGTGAAAAAAGCGGCCCCCGACAGTCGAGGTGAGAAATGCCAACGTGATTCTCTGCATTTTAGTTGATTAAACGAACTCTGCTGAGGTTGATTTAGACGAAGAAAAACTATACACGACTATTCGGAGAGATCGATCGAGTAAATATCGATCGGCGATGACGTGACGCGATAAGATGAACACAGATTCAAATCCGAGTGACGCTGAGGCGGAGACGATGCAGGTTTGGCAACGTCGAGATTTACCGATAATCTTCCATTTAATATTCGTTAATTAATACGATCCGAGCATTCCGAGCCGAAGATCTGTCCGTGAGTCAGCGACGCGGCCGACAAAGACGCTCGCCGCCCGCCGCCTAGCGCCGTTAATATGGTAATTAATTATTACAAATCATTCGTACATAAATTATTTCGGCAATTACACGATCGGTGATTTCGAAATTCGCTCCGGTTGTTAGTAAAAGCTTAGCTCTGTTCGTGTTTTGTGCGGTACCGAATTCTGTTGCGTGTGTCAGCATTGGCTCACGTGCGTCCGACACGATCTCTCACGAGAACTGCACAATGGCAGCGTTCGCCGACCTTTTTACCACTAAATGACGGAAACGACTTGTTTTTGTTTGCAACGAATACTTTGTAACACCTCCTCGACCACATTCAGTCGTAACAAGCGTCTATTTAGATACATAAGAGATCGTGCAGATTCTAAATATTAAATCAAAATTAGATCCAATGATATTAAATTTAGAGAAGGCGAAGTAAATAAGATCAGTAAAGTAGATTTCGATATGACGATAGATACGAGATCACAAGCTAAAGTGTCAGTTCAAGGAAGTCGTATTCTTGTTAAAAGTGAAACCCGTTCGACAATCGACGCGAGGTCCGTTGCCTCAGAGACACAATCCATGTTTTCTCTCCTATTGCTTACAGACGTATGTTTCCTGCCTACAAAGTTCGCGTTTCTGGTCTTGATAAAAAAGCAAAATACATTTTGCTAATGGACATCGTAGCTGCCGACGATTGCAGATACAAATTCCACAACAGGTATAAACAAAATAACTGAAAAGAAGTTAAAATAATACATCCGTAGTGGAGACTGTGTCATTGGCAATGTATTAAAAAATCAATTTGAGGCAAGAAGCATGCGTATGTGTGTGAAGGCGATTGGGATCTGCGTGTTTTAATTACTATGAACTCGATCCGAGAACTTAGCTGAGAAATATTCATCCATTCCAAAAATTATGTTTATCACATTGGATTATTTACCAGTTGCAAATACCGTAGATATTACAGACATTTGCGATTTAGAACCTTATGTCTTTGGCATTACCGCTGTTATGTTTTATTTTTCGTTATACGAGACGCATTTAAATATTTGCCGTTTCAATTATGTTCCGCTGAACGCAGATCTCTTTTCATTCACATCATTCTTGTTATGCATTGTTAATCTCAGTAATATTATGTTGGATTGCTTTATCGTCGCCATTGCATGATTTTTCGTGAGCATTTTAACAATTATGAGCTTATTAACTAGCTGTTGACGCCTAATTGTTGCCATGCATGCAGTTAACCACTCGAGCACTCTGTCGGGACATTTCCATTCAGTTATTAAATAAATATGTTCACGCTTTAGCATCGTTATAAACATTATTATTTATGTCGTCATAATTTAACTTATATATGCGCGCACCTGTCTCGGTCCCGTGTTCTTTTAATTACAATCTTTCTTGATTAATAATTAATTTTGATAAATAATGACTGGGCTATTATAGATATGGTTAGATAAGAATTCTGGTTTAACAGTGGTGTTGGCTGACGAATGTCGAAAGTTTGCTAAAGTCAGACACTTTTCTTAATCATTCTATAATTATAACAAACAGCTGACATGATAGTCGTCGAAGTGTGAAATATTTTATTTACAAATGAAGGTAGTTGCAATATTTTATCACGTTCATTCGTAAAATAAATCGAGACAATTTAATACTTCATTTCGAATTGCACTAAGTTTGCATTGGTGCTGTTTTCAATCGAGTTTTTTTGAAGTGACAGTGCTATAGTTGAATATTTTGTTTTTTACTGTTTTTCATTTCAAATTCAGCAACTTAGACGAAGTTAATTTTGATATTCCTTTTTTTGAAATAAGAAAGTCTATGCAAGATTTTTTCCATATAAAGAATAAACGTGGTTATTTTACAACTTATAAAGTGATAAATAAGAAAGACAATAGATTTTAGTCGTAAATATTTAGTTAAATTATATGACGTAAATGATTATGAATATTTTTAAGTAGTATTTAAATAAACTTTGTCAACATTGGTATAGTCATGGCGTATTGTTTGTTCGATATGACGTTAGATAGACGACTTGCTTGACTTCTGACGACACAAATCAAGTATGACCACTATCACAACATGTTCGAAATTTGAGTTTTGTTTTTTTTTTGACTTATTTGTGAAAAGTTGTGACAGTGTTTTGGTTTGGTTTGATATCGTTTGCTTGTAAGGATATGGTAGTAGGATGATTGTTTAGTGGTTAAAAGTTTGTACTTTAATGCTTCTGTATTTATATTTGTATGTATATTATGGTTATTCGTAGAGTATAGCATGGTGCAGATAACTTCACAGAACGAAAAAAATGATTTAATTACAATTTTGTGTAATTTAGAGAAAGTTAATTTATATTATCATTGCACCAAGCTATAAAGTAATAAGAGTATTCAGTTAAAATTATGTTACTAGTGGAATCTTCTTTTTTAATATTTTTGCTACTTAACTATTATTATTGTCCCAAAACTAATTACTTTTTGAAAGGTTATTTTCTTTAATTGATATAAAACTTAGTTACTTTGAACAATACTAAACTATTGTACACTAAATTAATTTCTTAAACTAAATATCTTCTCTGTTGTTTCATTACTCTGTGCAAATGGTTAATCGTGTCAATATGTTTCCGGAGCCGATGGATGGTGGCGGGTAAGGCGGATCCCGAGATGCCGAAGAGGATGTACATCCACCCCGACTCCCCTTCCACCGGCGAGCAGTGGATGCAGAAAGTTGTCTCCTTCCACAAACTCAAGCTGACCAACAACATCAGCGATAAACACGGATTCGTGAGTACCTGTTTGTTTATAGCGTAGTTTTTAATTGATTTAATAATTGTTGATTTGTTATCAATAAAACATCAGTGTAACTATAGCTTTATAAATTAGACGGACTACAACGCATAAAGCAATAGTTTTGCATTTGAATTATTTTGGACCATATTTTGGTCCAATTTAGGGTAAGTGTTTGAGCAAGACTATTAGTGAATTGTTATCATAACATGCAAATATGTTGATAATAAATCTATAGATTGACTAATCAGAAGATAGCTATGTATATAATGTCATATATAAACTTCAAGTGCAGATTCTCTAGATCTATAAAACCTTAAGAACCAGAGGTCAGTCTTGGGGTCAACGAATCATCGTTAACTTGTGAGATACGATTAAATAGGTTAGTTATTATGCTTAACATTAAAATTCATAGATTTCTCAAAACAATCAACGTCTCTCTTGATTTAATGGTGACATAGACACCGCGTCTGTTAACACATTGACTGCTACATGGGTGACTTAAAGTTTAACGTATGTCACATCGTTTTCAATTGCATACTGATTTTATTTTTGTTACAAAGTACAAATTATTTGGATTGCAATTAATTAAAAATATTAATTAGTTTCAAAAGTATGATTCAATGAAAGGGATCTTATATTTTAGTGCTTTAAATTATACAAAGACAAATTATTCCAATGATCACCGAAGATACGAAAGGGACTCGAAGAGTAGCGGTGGGCGCGTAAACTTTTTGTTGCAAAGCAAAAAGTTTATAATGTGGGTGATATTGTAATTAAAAAGCGGTCCGCGGGTTGGAACCCCTGTCGGCGAGCAGCGGGGGCGCATTGTGCCCGCCACGGATATTACGGTTATTTACTTTGGGTAACCATCGACGTTTAGGACCTCTATGGAGCCACCTTTTCACCAGTTTAGTAAAAAAAATACTATTGTCAAAACTCTTCTTTATGCTTTGTTTTTTTTTTAAGTTTTGAAGCAGCGGCGCCTACGTTTTTGATTTAAAGGAGTTTATAATATTCTTAAACAGAAGGCAAGGGATATTAATGTTAATTACTACCAGTTTGAATCATATAGACTAAGTTATAAAGATGCTGATACAAAGAGTCTAAAATCGATAGAACAAAATCACGGGATTAAGTAAGCTTTGATAATCTTAAAGCAAGTAATTTTCATAAATTATGGACAGCTAAGTAATAACAATGACTTGCTTGTATTAAAACAAGTCAAAGCGGATAATATATTCAAAAACGTAATGTCCATATGACCCGTTGGATTAAAATCTTAAGAGCAAAAGAAACCAGTCGCCGCGTTATCGGTCAAGACATACACGTGGCTCATTAGTTCAGACTTCGAAACGTTTGATTTTGATCCAATCAAATGCAGTACTAGAAAGTTGAGATTCCCTTACTTTCCACAATCAGTCGGTATTCTTTTTAATTTTATTTTAATAGTTCATGATAAGAATTAGTTCGATAAGGACAAGGGACCACAGTGTTGCTAGATGTGTTTAAAAAATAATTCAAGTTTCAATTTTAAAAAAACGCTACCGAAAACGAAAGCCGGCTCTTCAAGGTAACATAATACACTTGAGTGCGTTTACACCACCGCGATCCAATCATAGATAAGACGATTGTTTTTTTTTTTAATTCCGGCGATGAGCTGTTGTTCCTTTTTTTCGTTTTTCGAATGTTTTTTTCTCGTGTCGTCGTTTTTTCCCCGTGTCAGGTCTTTTGTCTTTGACGAGGGACCCGGGTAATTGAAATAACGAACAGTCCCGAGTTTGGTATGCGTAGAATTTTCGTGAACAGCTGACTGGATGAGACGCGATGCATACTTTATTCTTTGAACGCTTTCAGTGTTGTTAGGATCTTTGATCGCCTTTTCTTCGAATGCATTTTGTTGCAAAGTTTAATTGTGAATATCGTCTTTTTTATAATTGTCGGTATTTATTTTACCGTAAAAGTATTGTAAAACTAGTTTGTTTTAAATTTTTGAGAGTAACCATAACCTATTTTTAAGTTTTATCAATTGTCTCCCCCTCCACCATGTCATAGTCCACCGGCATTATCTGTTGCAAGTTTGCAATAATCTTCTCTATCATATCTTCGTCATCATCAACCTGCTCTTGTCATTCACTCACATATCTTCTTTCATTCAATCCATCCATAGTTTCTTCAGTCTTCTTTTCTCTTGTCTTATATCTACAAAACTACTAACCTAAAATTAATCTAATAGAGCTTATAAAAATTGATATTGAACATTGTTCAACAACACACTGTATTCAGACACAGGGTGACGTCTGTTGTAGTAACAGGTACGTAGATAGGAGCAGAGATAGCGTCTTCGGTGTTTGTTTTGTTGTTTTTTGTCCCGCGCCATTCCCTCAGACACGACATGCCGATTTTCGAATGACCGACCATTCCTCATACAAGATATTATCGTACGCTTGTTAACATCGATTAGTTTTGTTCGATCGGTTAAAAGGATAGCTCTTTATTGTTTTTAAATTTTGTAATAGATAATAGTAAAAAGTTGTTCTGTAACCATAGTCTTTGTTGTACTACATGAGATTATATTCTGAAGGCATCTAATGATATCAATTTTAAACATCCTGTAGAATTATCTACTCATTGTTGGTACTGTAAATAAGACTATATATTTTTGTTATTATGGGTAAAGATTTAAAAAGAGAGTTGGAAGTGGCTTGACATATCTACGATAGGATTGAAACCTTTGTGAAGTTTATTAGTGTTGGTACTTTTTTGAATTTTTCCTAGTACAACGTAGGCAGTCGGCGTCCTCGTTTACCTCTGGCAAAAATTAACCTCAAAGTTGTGCCGACTAAATACTAACGATCGTGTTAATTATAAAACTCGATTGGTCTCGCTGACCAAAAACCTTCGAAGGAGTTGTTCTGTGTAAAACGTTGTGGCAGGTGGAACGGATAAATATGTCGCTTCTAGTTATTAACAGTCCCCTTGTTAATAAGGTGTTCGTGCGAAACAAAGAACTAAGAAAAAAATAACATGCCTCTTCAAAAATTGATATTTGTTTTCGTTTTTCAAATGTAGTTTTGACGTGTTTGATTTTATATGATCTATACATGTTTCTTCAAACTTTTTTACTTTAATTCGATATTTTAATATAACAGTAAGTTCAGATATTGTGCTGTAGTTAACCACATTTTGGTAAAATAAGGCCTTTAATACAAAAGGGCTATTAGGTACCTTAAAACTGTCAACATTATTTTGTAAATATTTTAATGTATGAACTATAAACTGATTCAAGGTTCGCAAATTTTTTGTAAGGAAGGACTTTGGTGCGGAGCCGGATGAGGTTGTGCATTTTAAGCCAGTAGCCAGAATATTAAATTGCTTCAAATAATTAACTGATATTGAACAAATGTTTGTCAAACATTTGATCAAATTGCAACAAGTCACTGTAATGTCAATCTTGAATCTTGTGTCAGGTTATTCAAACGTCAACCCATACACGTCCTCACTGGGGACTCAGGGCCTATCACGCGGGACTAGTGCGAGTTGCTGTCTTTCAATTCCTTCTCAGACTAAGTTGGGTTCTTTTAAATACCTTTGATTTTATTTTCTCGCTTTCGCAACTTACCGATAGGTCTAAACGCCAGTAATAAAACTAAAAGTCATCACTCAGCAAGGCACTAAGGCTTGCGTCTCTCAGCAAAGGATATATTGGCTCCGATCAGTTATTTACAACGCCGTCAGTGCGACAAACGTTTATAGTGACGCTAACGGGCAGGACCGACGCGCGGGCAATTATGACGACATCTTCGGCTTTAACTGGCCGGCGAAAGCGTTTAATAATTATTATTGGACCTCCTTTATCCGAGTTTATAGCTGGCCACCAATAAAAGTGAGATTAAAAAGCGCCGAACTAAGAAGACCTTTCGGTCATTTCGTAATGGTAGCCGATGTTAGTGTGGGAATGAATCTATTTACATTACCTTATCTGTTTTGAATTTTCTACTATAGGTGTGTTAGAAAAAGGTTAAACTGTGTTACCCTACTGGGTGGTCAAAGATAAGAAAATAGCTTTTATGAAGTATTTGTGCATAGTTTTAATTAAGTACTATGTTTAACATACAAGAAATAGCGATATAAACAAATGGAAAGCATTGAAAAATGCGTTGCTTTGTTAGAAGGAAGTATTTGATATAAATAATTAATACAATTTCTAGTCAATCGTCCTACCCGAGCAAAATACCGTAACAAAGTGATTCGTGGTAGCGGTCTTAAGAAGCTTCCGTGGAAACCGGTCTAATTTATAAACACCTACGCACATCATAGAGACAGTAAACTGCATAATATGGATCGCGGGTTCGGTATGCGATCAGACATCGGCCGGGCATTAGGTAAGCAGGGGACACGCTCGCCTGCCACCACTAGGAATTGGTCTCTGACAGGCCGAGCCGTCTCCCGCCGATAACATCTGATACATAGTCCACTCCACGTTCCTACATTATTTATATGAGATACGAGTACTTTTACGTCTACATTAATTGTAAACGACGTTACGACAAGCATGAAATCTTTCCTTGATTAGGTATAGTGGTAGACTCGCACCCGTATCGCTATAAAAACATCTCGACGGTCCATAATAATGCCATTCTCCGCCGGGGGGCATATTATTACGTGGATAGCAAAAAGCGCCGTCTGTTTTAATTGTAAAGGGCTAATCTCTGCAAAGTCTTTCGAGCGGCTAATTCGTTTCAAGTAGCGCATTGTGGGCGAGGTGCGGACTCGGCGGCAGCTGCCGATGGACACAAAAAAACATTTATAAGTCGGTTTATAGCTTCCTACGCTCTTATAGTCTCAATCTTTACAAGATTCCCTTGTTATATTGAATATAGTTTGTATATTACTTGCGTAAGATAGGAATTTCGCACGGGTGTCGGATAAATAAATGGCTACAAACAGAGAGACACAAAGGCCAGCAAACCGGTGCGCTTCCTCGAGCAGTAAAG